GTTAAAATTAAAACAGGCTTGGCGATCATTCAGTACATCGAGAGAGACATGCACAAAACATTCTCAAGTTTCATACCTAAAACCGACCAAACATTCATTTCCATCTCAACTGAATTATGGAAAAAGTTTGTTTTTACATTGGTGATCCAGCTACAAGTGTCACGGATTCTAAGTTCATTCGTGTTAGTAATTCAATCCGTGCCATTTAGATCGCCGTAAAACTTGCACGTTTATCAGCTCACTACATTCAAATCGGACATTATTTTACAGAATATGCTTTAATTTCAGAATATAACAGTTACATTGCGCTGCATAGCGTTCCGGTTTATAAAGACACAACTAAGTACTGAAAACTGTTCTCGACATTTCTTCTTTTGAAAAGTGACGTTGTCAAACTTTAGTCTCTCACATTTCTAAAGAGAGTTCAAAAAGCCAATCAGACTGAGAACATGAAAACGCTGAAAATTGATCTAGCGCTGTCACTTCATAGAACAGGAAAATTTTCTCCCTCTATTTGTAATACATGAATTTGGAATCGATCGAATCTCTCATTAGCAGTGTTCTAAGTCATCACTTACAACCCAGCGACATACACGCCGGTGTGGGCCTCATTCGGTAAATAACAGCGTTTAAAGTCCAAACAGAACAAAGATCTTTCCAAATCCCTCATTTTTCAATTCATGTTTAAGCAGGTGAAAGAATATCAATGACAAAGTTAATAACTGACCTGGTAAACAGGCATGAAAATGACTCGAAATTAAACTGAACCAATATTGGTATCTTCATTCATGTTAATTGGCATATAGCTTTGTCATATCTACAGAAAAACGTAAATAAATGATGTAAGACGTCTTTTGAGTTCATTTCTATTCCTTTGAAAAGTTTTCCGACTGTCATAACTAAAAAGTTTTCCGTCAAAAACTTGTTTTAATGCATTTGCATAAAACTGAATAACAATAAAAAATATAAAGAAGCCATAGAATTTATTGTGCCACTTTTTTCTGGCTACACTGTAACCGATGTTTAGCTTTATTACAAAAAAAAATGTTGACATAAAACGAAATAAAATAGACGTAAAATCACCGGAAACGGATAGAACGAGATCGTTTCTGGGGTTTCAATGAAAACAGCGCCTTGAACTGAAAGTTGAATAACCGCCAATAAACTACTCCAGAAAATTACTTGTCAATTACTATTACGCCCCTGAATGAAATATGTTTTACTTAAGATAGAATTATTAACGTTTACCCTCCCTTAGAATATTTAACGTGAAGAGTGAAGCTGTTGTTAGCTTGAGCTCGGCCATCTTGCATATCTTTATTAGTGTTTAGGTATAATATTATTTTCAAAATTGCTCGAGAATCAAATTCTGTTTCAAAAAATGGAACGGCATGTTTGGGCACGGATGCATCGAAAGTTTTCAGGACGTCAATTTTAATGTGCTGAAAACCTTTCACTTCTATATATGCAGGAGGCAAACATGGTTTTTTTTTTCTTCAAGGTGCTAATAGTAATTTATACTGCATCGGTAATTATGAGATAATTATTGAGACTTTCACCGGTCTTGAGGCCCTCAATGCTAACTGAAAATGTCATGTGGTGCTATCTGCGCAAAGTTGAAAAGTGCAACACACCAGACAGATATTTCAAAATAATATTTTGATCCTAAAAACGGATGTAGATCCGGAAATTCCGTTTCGGAATTTGAGATGTTTCAGCGTGAGCCATGCTGAAATGCGGCACCTGAAAGTTGATTTATGATAACCTGGAGATTCGAAAATTTACTCTATCATATGTTTATTTTTTTTACATAGGGGCTAAAAAGAAAGCTATTTAAGCGTAGATGTAATTATTGCTCGACAATTTCAATTCTGTGTTGGTAAAAAAACTTGCTTACTTCGTGCGACACATCAGGATTTTTAAAGAGATCATTGGCATATTATGAACGGTGTTTATGGTTCCTCACTATTTCTCAAACGAGATATTAATATAAGAGGAAAAATAACATTGCTTAAACCAGGTATGTTTACAAGTTTTAAAATAAACTTGTATTCTATACTGGTCAAATTTATAATAATCTTGTCTGACCGATCTGTTTCCAAAAGGGACTGATAAAAATGCTGGACTGCCTATTAATGCTATAATAATCATGAAAATACTCTATTCCGCTTGCCAAGTGCAGGAATATTTCCATTAAAACAAGCAAAATATGAGAAAGGTAAAACCTTCCGATGGAAAAAGGTTTCTTTAGTCCTTCAAACGAATGAGCAATGAACAAATTTGCCTGAGCGTGTTTGAGTGTACTAGATCAAAACAAAAAATTTAGCAACAACAAAATTATAACTCCGAATCACTGATTTTAATATCAGAGCATAAGGCATGGAGATTGACCTGTGGCCGGGAATGAATTTCTCATATCGTTTATATCAACATGATTTCAATCTGAAACCTGCCGCTCATTTTTTAGCCAAAGATCTCTCAAATCAATTTGAAATAATAAAGGTCTTCCACCCGGTATTTCTTCTGAAGAGAACATTGATTAGATTTTGAGCTTCTTCGTTTAAATCGTAGCCTTTTTTCAGCGCTAATTGAACTCCTTTATCTGTTCCTCTCTTTGCAAAATTATCAATGAAGCGTCAAAAATTAGAAATTTACTTTCCGGAGTGTTGCTTCCATAACTTGTTCTATTGAGAGTCATCACATCCGATTCCAGGAAATTGTATGTGATCGTTGTTCAAAGATTTTTCCTTACCCATAACGGATAAAACTCTTAAAAGAATAAATGCCTGGCAGCGAAAGAGGTGTTTTTCTTTCTTCTCTGCCAGGAGTGTTCGTTGGTGCTTTAAAAATTCACACCACTCTTCACGCGCCCAAAACAAATTAGATAAACGTAAATGAAGTGCTTTACAATTGGTTTGCAACCATTTGTTTTCCCCTCTAACGGAAGGAATACTATTTAATTTCGAAGAACCCACTTTACAGGTTTCGTTGCTTTTATTTCCGATTGTTGTTGTTATGATTTTTCGATGCCAAGAAAGAGAGAGAGTGAATACATAATGAATACAGAGCTACATTAAAAATTCCGCAGTGCTATTCTTTTTCCTATACTGTACTTTGGTCTCCGCTTGATTGAAGTTGAAGTCCTATATGTGGGGAGATCGTTAGGAAATAGTGAAGAAATACGAATTGCTGTGTTAAGAGCGTGTTGTTGTTGTTCTCGTTTTCCTGTTTTTTTTTTTCCAGCAAGTGAGAGCCATATTTTTCACCTGAGTCGTGCAACTTGACGATTCCGTCAACTAATGATTACAGTTTACTCTATATCCACAACCTTTCTTCCTAGACAGCGGAAGATTCAACGGATTTTATTGGAACAAGTAATAAATATTGTCTGTCAAGACGGCTGTGAAAACTTTCCTTCAAACCGGCTGAAAGAAAGAGAGATAAGAGCTGGTATTCTTACGACATGCAGGCGCCGGAATCTTTCGATTTGAGTAATATTTGACAGAGACAGATGAGAAATGAATGTTAGATAGGAATTTGGAAGTATAAATACCTAGAAACATATGTTTTAAAGCGTTTGGAAGGAATATGTAAAAAACCAAAGTTGTTTTGAAAACACGATCTCGTGCTCATTATATTTACTTCAATCTTAGTTAACTTCATGACGTATTCAAACATAAAAAGACCGCAAATCGATTAAAATACTTCAGTTGACAGTAAGTGTGATCCGTATTCGTGAATTAATCAATAACTTGCAGTTGTTTAGACACTCGTCAATTAAAGACGAAAGTTTTGCGGAGACAAAAAATAAAGACAACTTTAGACACTTTGAAATTTACCTTTTATTATTTTAGTTTGGCATTTTAACAGCATATGTTTTTCGAACTGGTTTTGTTTGATATAATTTCCTTCTTTCAAGTTTACCTCGTTCTAAATTTATCTTTGTCGTGTTGTGGGTTTCAAACCACTACTGCATTTGTGTTTACGCAACCAAAATTCCGTTATTGAGAAAACTGTGCAGCCTGTCCGGCAATTATTAAATATTGAAGTGGGTTTTTTTATAATCTAAGTAAACCATGGAAAAAAAATGGTCAAGTCAATTTTAAATGGACTTGTCGGAATTTCTATGCCAAATTTAACGCCGCAAGTTTTTTTTCAAAGAATTGTTTCTTAAATCCACCAGATCATTACCATTCTCTTATGTATTGTTTACATTTTCGCTTTGTTGAGTTTCGTTATTGACACAGTGTGAGCATCTGTTAAATATCTCCTTTGTTTTTAAGAGTTTTAACAAGTTTTCTTTCAGACTTCTGAATAGGAACATTTCATTCAAAAAAAAAATTAAAATTTACCCAGTGGATGTAAAAGAAGAATAACGATTTAATACTGGACGTAGCAGTAACTAAGGTGTTTTCCGAATATCATCCCCCAGAATGCGGCAAACATTTTTCTGATGCTAAAAATTGGGAGTCCATATGTCTCAACGTGAAGTTTTAAACTTTCGAACAGCGGATAAAGTTTCTGAACCAAAATTAAATATATGTGAATTTCATTTCGAGTCGAAATTCTGAATTCTGGAATATTTTTCTTAATTAAACCCGTCCCTAAGAATTAAACAAATATGCAACTGGATGTATACAGTGATTTTCAACTTTCAATGAATTTTTTAACACAGTTTGATAAAGGTTGGTTTTAGCATTTGCAAAATTCATTCATAGACGCGTCGGGAACAGTTGTAAGACGTGTGTTTTGACATGGACATTTAAATTCTTTTTTCTCTTTATCACATTGACTGAAAGTTAAACACGAGCAATTTTAACTGCCTCGTCTATTGATTATAAATTAATGAACGATTCAACAGCGACGAACACAATAAATGGGATTTCACAATACCAAACAGCAAATCGAAAAAGGATAGCTCGCGATAGAATTTAAATCACATTTTATTAAAAGGCTGATGCATATATCCTAAATATATTCAACACATGTTCTTCCTTTTAATATAAGCAGACGATACGGTTAACAAGCTTTCAAAAAAGGAAACACAATTTGATTTAGAAAGAGCTTAGCTTTTATACGTACCATTGATTTGTATTATACGAACGATTGATTTGTATTATATTTGAAATACACCACGGGAGCATCTCCTCTACATTTATTTACGAACAAACTTCCTCTTTTTTTTTCCTGTGGCAACAAATTCATTGTAAGAAGTGTTCCAGAATTTAGACCAGGTCATTAACTCTACTATTTGGATTTTATTTCATCATAATTATTATTGTTAATTTTTCTACAAAATTTAGATCATGCCTTGGTTTAGCATTTTTAGTTTAACAGATTATAAAAGCAGAAAATGTCACTAAAAATTATTCTGCGAATCTTTCATCGCTAGCGGGTCCATTTCATGAGTGTAAGCATGACGTCTTAAATCGACTTTGCGGTAGAATGCTCGATCACAGTGGCGACAAGCGAACGGTTTAAAACCGGAGTGTTTGCGACTGTGTGTGATAAGATTTGAAGACTGACTAAACGCCTTGCCACACTGCAGACACTTGTGAGGCTTCTCTCCCGTGTGAATGTATGTGTGTTTCTTCATGTCAGACTTTTGATGGAATCTTTTTCCGCAGTAGTCGCAAGGAAAGGGTCTTGTGTCTGAGTGAATCAACATGTGAGTTGAGAGGGTGGATGAGCGCTTAAAAGTCTTATTGCATTGTTTACACTCGAACGATCTTTCGTTCGTGTGGATGTTCTTGTGTTGCTCTAAGCTAACTGTATGGCCAAACGTTTTCCCGCACACGTCGCAAGCAAAGGGTCGCTGTCCAGAGTGCGAACGTCGCACGTGTACTTCCAAACCATGCGGTGTGCTGAAAACCTTCTTACAGTTGAGGCAATCGAACGTTTGACCGTTGTACGCCTGTTCGGGTTTCTTCTTCTCGCTTACATTTGACGGGGTGGTTCCACGCAAAGTCTGTTTAAACGCGTTTTCTGTTCCATTTCCGACACGCACGAACGAGTTTGTGAAAGGGTTTGCAAAGAATGTTGATTGCCAATAAGGAAAAGGTAATCTGCGGTCGCCCAAGAATGGCTGAGGCGGGAGACGTACAAAAGGAGACAAACCAAGGAATGGACTGAACGCATCGGGTGTATATGGGCTTGAAAAGCGAGGAAGATAAGGTCTGCCACCTAAGAGATAACGAAAAAACACTGTGTTAACTTTATGAATTCTGTAGCTCTATCCCACGAACCTCGAAAAAATATAATAATAATAATAATAATAAACTGGATTCAAGATTTGTGTTTTACTGCGGATTAATGACGGAGTACAGCGTTAAATTTTCGTGATTTATGACCAGGTTCGAACAAACAAAAACATCAAAAGTGCTTTCGGAAGGGCTATTCAAATACAGAGATCTCGTACATGTTTAAAAATCCTAAACGAGACGGGCAATCTGCGCGCCTGATAAGTTTTCCCTTTATAGTGTTTGCGTAGAACATTTGAATGTAAAATTCGTTTAGAGAGGCCTATTGTAATAACCTTTTCACTAGAGTCCGGGTCAATTCAAAAAAGCTGAGTGATGATTCACTCAAATTAAAACCCTTTATAGATACCGCTTCATTTTACACTCTAAAAGGGTGTTTTTAGCCCTGATTGAGGAAGAAACAAACCATCCAAATGGTAACAATGGCTGAAAGGGAGTGTAAAAGAAATGACTTTGTGTGATATTTCCTCTAAATAAGAGGCGTAATTAAGCCTCTGTGTCGATTAATCTGAACGGAAAAATATAAAAGGCACCAAAACGAATTCACTTCCATTTCCTCTGGTTTGTTCAGCTTCATTTTCCGTTCTGACCGAGCTTAAGCCACTCTGTTCCAATTTAATTTACGGAGACAATTCTATAGGTGGCACTAGTTTCATATGCTGTTTTTAATAAACTCAACACTAGGTCGAAGTATACACACTGTTTTAACAATTAAACTCCAGCGAGTTAAACATACAGTCTTTGTGGTATTGTTAGGGTTTTTCTCCGGGTTAATTAATCTTTATTTACTTGTCAATGTCTTGTGGCTCTATGATATACAGCAACCCAATACAAGTAATATTTTCATCTTGTAGACTCGCACGCGATTGGTAATCAAATAAAAAGTGTTCCGCTCGACTTTACACCATTTGCAGCGGTTTGTTTGCAGATTTTAAATCTTGTCTATGATAGAGCCGTGAAAATACGCGCTATTTACACGCAAAGTCTATATGCAAGCGGGATCATTTCCTGTGTGCCTTATTACGGCAATTCGCGAGTTCTGATTTCCTAAATTAAAACTAGAACTACATGGGCCAAGAATTCTCATATGTAAATTTCGACGAAGGCGCGTTCCGAATTTATATCCCTAATTCAAGCAGCAAATTTTCTGCTGAAAGTTTAGTAAAATACTTCACCATCTGGCAATATATCATGAGACAGAGAAAAATATTCTAATGTCGCCAATGCGATAAGAGTTATACTAATGCGAGGCAAATATTCTTGCTCTGATTTTAAGAGCTCTCATTTACTTAAGGAAAACGGGCTTTTAAGACCGGCGTTCGCTTAACAACCCAAACTGATACGCAACAAGTCAAAAATTATAATTACCATTTGCAGAAAGTACATTCGGTTCCATTAGCCCCATATTTGGTCTATTTGGAACGAAGGGTCTCCACTGTGTAGGACTGGTCTCCTTTTTCGTCAGCTTATCGGGCGCGAATAAGTTTACAATATCAAAAGGTCTATTTGATGGGGCGCTTTTCGTCTCTTTCTCCTCCGAGTCATCTCGTACCATTTCAGCTGTTTGTCCTTAAAAAGAAAGAAGAGAAAACTTGACGGTTAACTAGCGCGTGTTTAAATCATCATGCACTCAAGATGGAAAATAAAGCCTGAATATTCAGATCCATTAAAGTCTGACCGCATTTAGTTTTCACAGAACACTGCGCTTTTGTGAACAATCTCGAATAAGATAAATCCCCAATTTATCAGTTATGATTTCACACCAATAAAAGAAAAAATCCTACAGCCGGGTGCACGATTCTGTTCCTTAGAAATTCCTTAGCAAATTCTATTTTGACTTTCATTTAGCTTTGCGTTAAAATTACCTCAAAAAGACTTTTTTCGTAGAATAACCGGTTGAACATCTGAAGTACTGAATGTCTGTCTCGAAAAATTCGATCACACGGAAAAATAAATCATGACCATTAAAACCCTTCCATAAAAGAGCAACTCTAATCCTTGCACCTTACCAGATTCGCTTTTTATCTCAGTGTCTGGGATTTCTTGGGAGTCTATGCAAGCTGTTATCGCTACCCGCTTTTTGACCAAGAATGACTTAGGCATCTTTTGATCTCGCTCGGCGGAGTCCGACTCAAGAAATCTGTGAGTTGTCTCGAGTGCAAAAGCGACTTGAAGCGGTCGTTTTACAATAAAGGCATTTTTTGATGTCATGCCTTTTTAAACTCGTAAGAACAAAACCTATCACAGCGGTAGTAGATGCGGCAGGTGAACACCATAGCAACAACGTTTTGGCGCACACGCGCGAAGCGCAAGGAGCGAGCGTTTGATTGGCTGATAGAACTGACGGACATCGCCCGCTTTGTCAGATTTGTGGCTCCTTTGGTGGTGCCAAGCTCAGAATGGAGTTCGTCATTAGCGGTTTGATAAAACGATTTCAATTGTTCTCTGTCTACTTCGTCGGATTTTCCGCGTTCTTAACTGCCCATGATGGGAGGGAGGTCATTAAGGAAAGAGCCAGTCAAAACACAACTTCAGTTCAAACGATACAGAAAACCACACTTTTTGCGATAACCGATGTTGTTATATCGAGCCGTTTTTTTTGATCACGTTTCGTTTAAAATGCTCTTATCAGCCCGTTTCCGCACAAGCTGGGACGGGAAGGGAAATCTTGGAGTTTATTTCTGTTTTTCATAAATTATTTATATGATAAATTTAGTCTTTGATGTGTGTTTATCCATGAATGATCCACGTGCTACAGTCATTGGTTCGCACAATAAACGGTGTTTGGATCCGTCAAACGGAGTGATCTCACTTGAAAACACCACTTTAATCTGCGGGGGAGAACGATGACGCGCTAATTATCACGGACGTGGGAGAAAGCTCATTATTCTTCTACCAAGGCTGCAACAGGTGCAAGCAGGTCTTCTTTACAGAAATTTAATCAAATTAATTCGTAAGATGAATGCGTGTTGCGAAATCAAATTCATGTTCAGCGAAGCTTGCTCTGAATTCACCGCTAAGTTGTGTAAAGTGACTATTAAATTCAGAAACGTTTGCTCACCCTTTAATCCCGACAGGATGCGATTTGTTTGCAATCATTTTGGCTGTCGCGCGCTAATGAACACTGCGATATGATCGATCAGTTATGGAGGAAGTGTGAATTCTGTGTTCCTTATGATTTTTCTACTGTGGTGATGTGCCAACCGATTAAAACAAGTCAATAAAAACATATCGAACTCTGTTCTTCTATCGTTTTCCAGCTAAGTTCAAGAAATTGCGCTCTAGGGATCTTACTAATGAATGTAGAATTAGAGCTGGGTATTCATAAGAACTTGCGAATTGAAGTGCTTGATGTGACAAGAGACTGATTCGTAATTGATTTCAGATTTAGCGGACGAGGCATTTTAACTACATCCATTAGTAAGCCGTGCAAATCTGCGTAATATTGTCTCTTCGTTTTGATTTGCTTCCCGTCCAAGCGAAACGAAAATGTTATATTATTAAATTTAAAAAAAAATGTTTAAGTGCGGGGTTGAAAATCCAACCCTCACAGTATGGGAAATCGCCACCCGGTCGCTCTTCGCTTTTTCTTTTTTTCTCTCAATAATTCACTTCGAAGAGTTTAAATTATCGTCGGAAGTGAATCTTTTCGGGATTTTTAATCAGTTCATTTCGACTAAGCTGTACGTACTTTTAATCTTAGTCACCGGCAATTAAGAGGAGGGTACATCAGCACTACCTCAGCCGTAAATTCAAGAAACTTGAACAGGCGCGCGTCCGTGTTGACTATTTCTTCGACAATTTCATTGTCATCGGCGCCGTTAAACAACTGTTTCTTTCTTTTTTTCTCGAGCAATTGTGGGTTTCTTTCGAATTATTATCGCGAACCCCTCGGGGGAAATTAACTCCGAATGAGTAAAACCGGTTATTGTCCTAAAATGGGTCCCGCAGCGCGGCCATTCTCCAGCTACGCACGAATGATGAATTAATATTTGACTAATAAGCAAAATTATGATGAGGCAAACAATTTCTTTGCTAAAAGCACTTAAGCTACTTAACACGACTAGAAACCAAACAAGATGCCTTCTAGATTAAATAATCGCGTCCCAGCTCAAGAAAATTGCTTCTCCCGAAAGAAATTGGGAAAAAATTTTGATGCAGAAATACTAATGAATACAAACCGATGTTTTGTGTGTAAGATAAGACCCTTTTTACTCACCTTTAAGCATTTTAATGCAAATCACACATATTAGGACGCAACGGGAAAAAAATTAGTTTTTCTCAGCAATATGAAATCCTAATATTTCTAGTTATTTAAAGACTGTAACGTTTGATTTTGTATTTTCATTTGTTTTTTTTTCCTTTAAAACTGGAAAAAGATATCGACAAAGAGAATAGAGAAGTTGATTTTGAAAACATGACAAAACAGCCGATAAAACATCGCGAACGATTCGGCGAAAGATTCTTAATAAAACACATATATTTATCACGACAAAAATTGAAGTGTAAGTTTTGTCGCTTGACTTGTGAATCTCTCTGTCTTTGATCTTTTTTTTTTTGGATATCAACCTCGAAGCGGGTTATAAATGTTAGTTTGATTGATTATGAGGGTATTTAATATTAAAATGTGAATCTAAGATGGTTTGCTTCGTTCAAGCTTATAATTTTATGCACCCTGACAATCTCAATAAAAATAACTTTCAGTCTGTTTTATTTCTCTGATGAAAAGCCTTCCCCATTTAAATTTCATGTTTCATTGTAATGCGATATTGCAAAGAAACATTGCTTTCTGGAGTAAGCTTAAACGGTTCTTTAATTCATCTTCGCGTGCGTATATCCTTGGGGATAATTTATATCAACAATGGTCTCTATAAATCCTCTGGCTGCAGGCACCTTCGTTTTATTTTTGTTTCGGATAAATGGCGGAGAGGTTTATCTTTTATCTTTTTATCTTAATAACCGTTCGCGTTCCCCTAAACAGTGGGATAATTAACAGTTTTTGTGAAATTTCTTGTTCGACAATGTGGCTAGCAGCTGCCAGATTATGAGTGATCTCCATTCAGTTGATAAGAAACTCAAAGCATCCTTGAATTGGCTGCTTTACAGATATCCATATATTTTTTCTCTTTTTCTTTGACGGCTCTTAATCCTTTTTGAACATTTTGCTATATTGCAACCACAAAAACCAACAACCACAGATGGATATTTCAATGGAAATTCTTGACGGTGTTACCATGAATACAGTGAATACAGAGCGAGAATCTATCCCTTCAGTTTTTACGTCCAATACAAGAATTTTCACTTGCTCGATCGGCTTTTAAAGTAAGCGAAAAATTCACGTTTTATTCATTTTTTAATTACACACATTTGCTATTTGTAATGTGAACAAATAAAGGAATGAAAATACTCTGTTCACAACTTGCCTAACAAAACGAAACATCGAAAAGATCTCTAAGAATTGTTCTCTATCATGCTGACAACCAAACTTAGAATAGACGGTGTCAAAATGCTGATGAAAACATTAGCATTATTATGGAGTAGAGCAGCATTAATTATTGGACAGAAAAATCAACCTACGGCTACGCGGTTGACAAGTTGAAATAAGCTTGTAAAATTATTGCAGGGGCACCCTTGATAAAGCGAAACATGAACTACCACTGATCATCAAACAAAGGTTTGTTGAGACAACAAGTTTGCCTTAATGAATTTCGAATTATTAGCGGGGCTTCGACTTTGCAAGAGTATTTTACTTTGCCTCGCCGCTTCGAATTGTTTGAGACAAGCAAGATGAAAAAAGCGTAATATAAACCAAGATATAACGCATGGTGTTTACGGTTTTTTTGTGTGTGTGTCCGTCTACTGATATTATACTATATAAGCTCTTAGTAGGGAAGTAGCTTCTTGCATCGTTAACTGAAATGTACTCCCTTATCAATTTCAGCTAATACACGATTCCGACAAAACATTGTCACTAATCCGTGCTTACATATGAAGGAAAATACTGTTCCTCTACCAGCATAGTGCAAATATAAGCTGTGTATGTCTATTGAATTCACTCAATGAGCTTTGTTTACGAGCAAAAGGAATAGACGCAGCTCCGAGCGGTTTAGGAGACTGAAATTGCATTTTGCTACACTCGGAAAAGAAATTCTAAAATTTGACTGACATCGAAAGAGACCAAATATTAACCATAAGAAGGCTTGCACTGAGTGGTGCATGAAATTTACTGGTTATTTGACGAAAGAAGCCTTGTTAATATAGCGAAAAACGGTTATGCGTGTATGAAAACGAGCACAGTTTAATTTACTATGCGTTCGCTTTTGTCCGTCCACCCCTCTATATTTTGACTAGCCAAATACAGCAAAGACAGGAGAAACATTAAATCGATGTTTTCCATCACTTGTTTCAGTAATAATTGAAAACGAGTATATTCGGCTCATTTCCCATTTGTAAAATTTAAAGGTACGGCTAATTTCGGTTTTGTCATGTAAAAGTTCACGGTACAAAAGAGACTGACTTGAAGAAATGAAATTAGCGGATTCGTGATGCCATTCAAAGACTGTTTAATTTTCCTGAGAAAGGTTTCATAAAGTCAGCTGCATGCTTCATTTATCAATCAAGGAATATCTGAGTTGAAGCTAAGAATAGCGTCGTTAAAAACTTACTTTCTCTCCTCTACGAAAAAGCTGGTCTCCATTCTGAAACATCTGTGTATCAGATGCGAATTATGCTCGAGGCATCTCACAAATACATTAAAAAAAAAACATTTGAAAACTACCGGCAGGAGTTTTTCAAGATTGAAGCGGAAAACTGCACAAGCTGGAGGAAGACCTATTACAAATTACCGTATCGCTAAATGTGACGGAAAACGAGGGAGGAATGGTCTCGTGCATTCAAAGAAAAAATAATAAAAATCATGAATTACGAAAAAGCAACAAACCAATGGGAAAAAAAGTGCAAGGAAGACCATTTCGCAGTCCGAAAGGATAGTGTAGATTTTTAGGATGCGTACCGTCTCATAATAGGCGCAAAAAAATGGCATTCACTTACTCGAGCACTTGCAGCAGTCTACGAATTGAGTTGTTTTTTTCAGAATTCAAATACACTATTGCAGGAAACTGTCTGGTTATGATTAAACGGAAAATTTGACTGGAGGAAGTCAGTCAGATAAGGAAGTCGATAGTGGTTGAATATTTACGATTCGCGCTTCACTAACGACCTATTGAAAGGCCAAAGAGCTTTTTCGAGAGTATATGCACCAAAACCAAGGC